CGCGGGAGGCGGCGGCGGCGGCGGCGACGGCAGCGGAAGCACAGGCAGCGGCAGCTCGGCCCGCCCCTTGCGCCGCGGAGGAGGAGAAGGCGGAGAGCACGCCAGCCCCGCCCCCGGGCAGCGCCGACCAATAGGCTTACAAGGCCTCTGCGAAGAAAAACGTACACACCCAATCGGAACCTGAGGAGTGGGCGACGTCAAGAGTTGGGACGTGGCAGAAAAAGGGGAAAATACACCGACCGGCTCTGCGCCACGCTGCCCCGGCGCCCACAGGCGAACTGCACTGATTGGCCGCAGAGCGGAAGACGGGGCCTGGCTCCGCCCCCCGCCCGCCTCCTTTTCCTGCAGCACCGCGAAGGGGCGGGGCGCCGCGGCGGGCGGCTCGCGCTGCCTTTTGTGGTTCGACTGGGAGGAACGACCGGGGTCTCGGGACGGGAAGGGTTTGGAGAGCTCGGGGAAGGACTGGCGCAGTTAGACTTAGAAATTCCGGCAGAGCTACCGAAATCGGAGCTTCCGACCGACCCTAATCCGACTGGAACGGTGTAGGTCCCCTGGCGTAGAGCTCAATCGGTTTCCGCCCAGATATCCGAGGCAGAAGCCAAAAACAACCGGGAGGCGCATCTGCCCAGCCTGACTTTCCCGCTGCCCAGCGCCTTCCGCCCTCCAGGAGCATCCTTGTCCTCGCAGTTCCCTGGAGGCCTCCTTTACCCTCCAGCCTGGGCCCGACCAGAATCTTCCAGTTTGCGTCCTGAGGCTGATCGGCTGTAAGGCCCCATCATTTGTAACCAAAATAAATACAACAGCTGCAGTCCTGGACGCTTTGCTTAATTTAAACTCGGATAACAGTTGATTACGTCGGTGATGCAAAATTGTTTTTTTCATGCCGCACATGTCCTCTTTTATCATCCTGAAACGTGTCTGCTTCTCTGATTACAGTCGGGCGCCCTTCAGCTCACCAGCCCAGAGCCCAGTGCCAGGGTATATTTATCGCGGCCCCAGCCCCCGCGAATGAATGGTCCCACCTCGTGTGTTGTTCCCTGACAACTGCACAAAACTCCTTCCATCAACTGAGACTAATTTTCTTTGCTGTTGGTGCAAGTAAATCACGCAAAATTTACTAGAGAAACTTGTGAGAATTTGCTAGACATTTTGTAAAACCAAGTCTGATTCCCAATTCACGCTCTACATACCTTACTATGAAAGCGTTTTCCTTTTGGCAGTCTTCTGCCTTTTCACATGCTGTACAGAGTAGTGACTTTTCCCAAGTCCCTCCTTCCTTGAAAGATAATTTACATTTTAATTACGCTTCTCTAATTTCCCTCTAGAATCTTTCAAATTGGTCCAATTGGATACACTGGCTTGCTTTTGGGGAAGGTTTCCCAGATTTCAATCTTCTTTGTACACATCTGTGTATACTAGTTCCAGTATTTATTGTTTTCTTTAAATAAACGTATTTTTCTTAACATTTCTCTAAAACGAAAACTTTATTAAAATACTGTAAAAGGGTAATACAATCCCCTTTCCCAAGTTGAAAGTAACTGTAAGAAACATGGATGTAAAACAATGTATTAAAATTCTGGCTAGGGACCAGCAGTTAGCCTAATGGCTATGTTGCTGAATTCCCATGTAGTCTACCTCGGTTAGAGTCCCGGACATGGTGGCTTAAACTCACGCTGGGCGCATGTGCGTGCGTGCCCAAGATCCCAGGAGGAGAATAGAGGAGAAGGGATTGTGGTGTGGCCATCCCCTGGCGGGGGTGGGGTGGGGGGGGGTCTTGATTTCTATCTCTCTGTCTCTCTCTGTCTTTCTGGTGAGCGCACACGCCCTATAGCAAAAACCTCTTAAAAAAAAAAAAAACTAAACTAAAATTCTGGCTAGAAACTATTGCCAACTAAAGGTTCTGCACCTAAGCCCACTCTCGTTGTTAGCTGGGGCCAGCAATTGGCGTGATAGCTATGTCACTGGACTCTCATGTAGCTGACCATGGTTCGAGTCCTTGACCCAGTGACTTAGACTCTCACCAGGCATATGTGCATGTGTGCCCAAGATCCCAAGAGGAGAATGGAGGAGAAAAGGGACTGTGCCATGGCCATCCCCTCCAGGGGGTGATTTCTTGCTTTTTGTCTCTGTCTTTCTGGCAAGCACACGCCCTATAGCAAAAACCTCTCCAGAAAAAAATAAATAAATAAAAAAAGTCAGGTTAGCAAGCATTGGACGCATGTTAAAGACACAGCTCTCTGATATTTTATGATGTAATTGAAGTGCAGAAAAATGGAACCAAAGTAGCAATTGCTTTGTCACTAGTGAAGTCAGTGTTTTCAGTACTGCCTGTATGCCCCAGCTACAGTCGTCCACAGCATGGTAAGCCACCTGTGTTACTCTTTGAGACACTGGTATGGAGGATTAAAGTATGTGCTCTCGAATCAGAGGCATTCTCACACTAGCCCCTGCATTTATAGCTGTGTGTTTCTAGACAATCTGGTTGCCTCTCCAATCTCAATTTCTATTTCTCCTTTGTACTTTTCGCTATATGGTGCATGTGCTCGCTCAAGAGAGACACAGAGAGAAAAAGAGCACAGGAGGAATTACCAGGGGGAAGGGTGGCCATGCTACAATCCACTGTCCACTCTTCTCCTCCCCCTGTTGGAATTTTGTGCATGCATACACATGCGCCCAAAGGGATTCTCAAACCATTAGGTCCAGGACTCAGCCAGGGAGTTGGTCATGTAGGATCCAGTGTCTCAACCTCCACACCACATGGGTCCTGAACTTGATTTCTAATTCAACTGTGGGAAAGTAATAATGCCTATTCATGTTGCTGTATAGCTTAAATAACCTAATACTAAAGATAGCATGCCTAAAATGAAGTACTAAACACCTATTAGCTTATGCATTGTGTCATTATGTGTATTGGGTGGTCAGAAAAGTCATGGCATATTTTTCTATGCACAACATGTATAATTACTTTTCTGATGATCCTATACATATAAACAGTATGTATTATGAGCTTATTATTGCTGTTGATTCCAGAGATACATTCCCTAAGCAAAGGGTTGAAGGACTCACATGAAATAATGTAGAGGTTCTTTCTTTTTTTTTAATAGAGATTTTTGCTATAGGGCATGTGCGCTCATTGGAGAGACAGGGTGATAAAGAGACAAAACGTGAGAAGTCATTCCCTGAGGGGATGGCCACCTAGCAATCCCTTCTCCATTCTCCCCTGGGGATTTTTGGCATGCTCGCGCATGCACCTGGCATGAGTTTTAAGCCACCAGGTCCAGGACTCGAACTGTTGTGGTCAGCCATGTGGGAGTCCAGTAACATAACCATTACACTATCTGCTGGTCCCTAATGCAGAGGTTCTTAACGAGTAGACCAACAGCGTCAGTATTATTTCAGAACATTTTTAAAAAGCAAACTCATATTCAATCTCAGACCTAAATTAGAAACTATAGGTATGGGATCTATCTGTAGTTTTAACAAGCCTTTCAGGTAATTTCAATACATGTAGTTTGATAACTTTATGTAAATAAGGAGGATGAGTCAAAGAGCGAGAGGACTTGTGTTCCAATCAGAGCGTTAGAATGGTATCAGCAAAAATGGAAAGCTCTCCTCCATATAAGCAAGGACAACACTGATTGTCAGAATCAACTTTTTCAGCACTCTGGAAATCAGCCAGATTGGCTTGCAGCAATCCAGGGGATGTTTTTTTCAGGAGAAATGGCTGAATCTCTATACAAATAGGAAACTTTGTGGCATTTTGGCTTATTTCAATGCCTACATTTCTCTGCTCAGTTTCTTGGAACCTCGCTGTTTATATGAATAATTTGAGTTAGACAGCAACTTGAGAGGGATTTGTATAAAGGTTTAGAGGCTCCTGCTTTGCTGTTCTCTCTTTTTGTGGCTCTTCCCTTGAAAGTTAAGCCATTTTGGCCATCCAGTACTGTGACCTCTGCCTCCTCTGCATTAAGGGTGCTCAGTGTGCCCCTTTCTGCTTGAACTCTTCCTTGGTACCACAATTTGGCAAATGTCCCAGAAAAGGTAAGATGAATATGAACCTCCCCTCCCGTGTATTCCTTCTCTGAAGGATCTTAGGCCCTCAACTGCTAACTGCATTGCTAACTCTTCAATGCCTTCAAGCACTTGTTTTATATAGTTTCCTAGTTGTTTTGTTTTGTTTTAGTTTTGCTATAGGGTGTGTATGATTGCAAAATTCTCCTCTCATGACTTTTTTTTTTTTTGAGAGGTTTTTGCTACAGGGCGCGTGCACTCGCCAGAAAGACAGAGAGAGAGAGAGAGAGATAGAAAGCAAGAAATCACCCCCCAGGGGGTGGCCATACCGCAATCCCTTCTCTTCCATTATCCTCTCAGAATCTTGGGCACGCATGCACACATGCCCGGCATGAGTTTAAGCCACCATGTCCAGGACTCGAACCGCAGTCGGCTACATGGGAGTTCAGTGACATAGCCATTACACTAACTGCTGGTCCCTCCTCTCAGGATTTTGAGCATACATACACAGTGTGTTCGGCAAGCCACTAGCTAGGTCTGGGCACTTGAACCACATGGTTGACCATGTGGGATCCAGACACCTTAACCTCCATCTCACCTACTGGCCCTATTTTCCTGATTTTTATTGTTGCTTTCAGTAGGAAAGTCTGATACAAGTTAATCAGTAGCAGTTGTAAACAGAAGCCTGCCAGACAAGGAAATGCATTTTTCATCTAGACTCTTGGTTCTATAGCAATAAAATTCCTTCAAAATCTTTTTACTTTATTATTTATTTATTTTGTCATAGGGCACATGCGTTCGCTAGAGAGGGAGAGACACTGAGGGAAAGTACGATGAAAAGTCACCCCCCCGGGGGCATGACCACACTACAATCCCATCTCCTCAATTCTCCTCCTAGGATTTTGGGCATGTGTGCACACTCAAACAGCATGATTTTCAAGGGCTGGGGCCAGAGCTC